ATATATGGGCTAGTTTATTCTGGCCGGCGGCTTCAGGGAAGAGCAAGTCAGAGTTTCCATCAGTTAGAAACGGCAGCAAAACTCAAACCGCTCTCTCAAACAACAGCACACTCTTTCATTCAGCTCATTCTTTCCACTAGAAGACCCATATCATGCGCACAGTAGTTTCGGGAGGCCCACTGGAAACTAAAAAGGGCTTCGATGAGACTTAAAACACAGCAGAGAAAGAGAAATAGCCTCTAAACATAGTAGCCTTCAAATTATTGAAATGATTGATAATTATATTATTTTGAATATACAGTCAAAATCTGAATTATTAGCCCTCCTGAATTATTAGCCCCCTGTATGTTTTTTCCCACAATTTTTGTTTAACAGAAGAGTTTTTTATAACACATTTCTAAACATAATAGTTTTAATGACTCATTCACTGATTTATTTGATCTTTGCCATGATGACACTACATAATATTTTACTAGGTTTTTTTCAAGATACTATTCAGCTTAAAGTGACATTTAAAGGCTTAACTAGGTTAATTAGGCAGGTTAGGCTATTTAGGCAAGGCATTGTATAATTATGGTTTGTACTGTAGACAATAATAATAAAAAAAATGGCTTAAGCGTATAATAATTATGACCTTAAAATGGTTTTAAAAAATTAAAACTGCTTTTATTTTAGCTGAAATAAAACAATTAAGACTTTCTCCAGAAGAAAAAAGTATTATTGGAAATACTGTAAAAATTTCCTTGCTTTCTTTCTTTTCTGTTAAACATAACTTGGCAAAAATTTGAAAAAGAAAAAAAAATTCACAGGAGGGCAAATAGTTTTGACTTGACTATATATAAATATATGAATAATTAATAAATAAATAAAAACCTTAATAACCTTTGTTTAACAAACAACAAAAATATATAGTTTTGAATAATACGTAAATAATCTGTCAAATGCATAACTATTCCAAAACATAATTAAATAAACAAAATGGATTAAACCAATCAAATTTTAATATGAATAAAAAATGTTCACCAAAAGCTCTATTTAAAAGTAAATAAATGTTTAAGCTAAAAAATAATCACAGCACTATAAAACAAAATAAATTAAACAACAATAAAATATCTAACTTTGTTATACAATATTTTAAAATATTTAGACCCTAATATTTTATCAAAATAATAAATGATACAATAAATATAATAAAAAAATAAAATAGATTACCATGTTTATTTAGAAAGTTTAAAAAACACATTTTTTATTGGTATAAAACAAGTGAAAATAATTCAAACAATTATTATTTCTTGAATAGACCTTATAAAAAAGGACTAAATAATAATTATAAAAAACAAACAAACAATAACTGTATTACAAAATAATTATTACAAATTAATTAATGCAAAATAGCATTAAATAAGTCAAACTTGTATGAAAGCAAATTAATAAATACAATGTGTTTTAAATTTTTTCATTCATTCATTTTCCTTGAATGAAGTTCCTCAAATTAACTGAACATAAGAAGATGTGAACTACAAAATATTTGTGCTGCATGTACAAACTACTTATTTACATAACTGAATCAACGCAATTCTTGAGTTTTTTTGGGGACAACTTTGGTTTGTGTTCTTTTTTTATGTACTTATGTTGTTTTTGTTATGTGTTAACAACTGTTTATGTTCAATCCACTTAACCCTTTCATACATGCAATCACACCAGTGTGATCAGCCTTGGCTTGTCCCTGAAGCATACAATCACATCAAAGTGATTATAACATTCAGAGTGCATGTCAACTGCTAAATTTGAATTTGACCGCTCGTGCTAAGTAGTGATGGGTCGTTCATGAACGATTCGTTCATTTTGAACGAATCTTCAATATGACTCGGGAACTACGAGTCCTCTCAGGGAGTGATTCGTTCATCCGCGCGTGCGCACATTTGTGCAGGTGATATCGTTCATTTCTAGTCTTCATCAAATTGGCAGAAGCCAATCATATGCGTTTAGAGCCGGAAAAATAATTGATCCGCTCACCTCTCGAGTCCTCTATCGGGTCTGAGTCCCTCGTTCATCACGAGCCAATCATACGCGTTTAGAGACGGAAAAAGAATTAATCCGTTCATCTCTCGAGTCCTCTATCGGGTCTGAGTCATTCGTTCCTCACGGGCCAATCATACGCCTTTAGAGCCGGAAAAAGAATTGAACCGTTCATCTCTCGAGTCCTCAGGTTTGAGTCATTCTGTCACGTGATGAACGAACGATCATGGCTTAGACTGTGCATTGATTAAGATTATATGTGACTGTCAGTGTAACGTGAATGAACCCCTGACATTTGAAGACATGAAGAGGTGAGCTGAGCAAAGAGACAACAATGCCTTCATAGACAAAAGAGCAGGTAAACATTGAATTAATATTTTATCCTTCTTAAAGTATTCTATTTATGACTTATTTGTCGTGTGATCGACCTTTTGGGCTAGCTGTAGATGTGTTTGGAAGCAATTCGTAACATTTTAATAATATTTTGGCAAATTGAACCAAATGAACGCAATGACTCGAAAAAAGATTCGTTCATCTTGATGAACGAGACTCAAAGATCCGAGTCAGTAAAATGATCTGAACTTCCCATCACTAGTGCTTGAGGTCCAGAAAGAGGTGAGCAGTGCTTGTCATAACAATTTATCGGTGCTTTAAACAAATAACATTTATTTTAGGATTTAGACATTCAGCTCAGATCTCTAACTAAACATCGATTTACGTGAACAACATGAAGGAATTGTGCAGAGCTCAGCATTTTTACAGTAGCTTTCTGGACCTTGAAAGTCATTGAACGTAACATGCTTTGATTATTTTCTTTAACAACTTGGAAATGAGTTTCACAGGAGGAATTAAGCAACAACACAAGAATGAAAAGAAGACGATGACAGAAATTCATTTTTTGGGCAAACCGTTCTCGTTTGTCGAGGAAACAGTGGGAAGGACTAATGATGGCGTAATTACAGGCTTGTTTGTTTTGTTTGTTTGTACTTTGTGTCTGCAACGAGAGTTAATTCTTCTCACGATAAAAGAACCAGAGGAGCTGTCATTGGCTTTAATTAAAAGGGCGAACAGCCTCGTGTAATGGTTTCTCCGAGACAACCGGGATCCCCGCGTAGCATTTTGCCGTATCGTTGAGGAACAGTCAGGCATAAAATAGCATTTTCTGCATCTTAATTACAAGCCCTTCACCAAATAACAGCCATGGAGGCAGAGCTTGATCATGCCTGTCTGATGCTCGCTGTGTTTTAGAGGCTCAAAGAAACCATTTCTCATTCTCCAGTGAGTTTTTAAGTCCTTTTTTGTTTCTAGCTGGCCTCCCGAAACTACTTTGCATATGATATACACTGTAAAACATATCTGTTAATTAACAGTTTCCATATTTTGTGATTCATTTTCTGTTTATTTACGGTTGTGAATTGCAATAAGGGTGCTTGATCTCTGCTCTGACGACTTCTGATATTGATAATTTAACTCTACAGTTTAACAAAGTATTTTTTTTTTAATTTGACAGTAGTTTAAGATTATATAATGTATAAGAAATAATATATACAAAAATAATTATACAAAAATTTTACACAGGCAGTTTATTACAAGGTTTTATAGTGTAATAAACAACACCAACCCAAATCACTTTACACTAATACAAATGTCAATAAAAGTTACTTTTTACAGCAAAATATTTGTGCTGCTTGTTCAAACTACTTATTTACAGAGCTGAATCAACCAGTTTTTTTGAGGACAACTTAATTATTTATGTTTGATCCACTTTCATGCATACGATCACACTGGTGTGATCAGCCTTGGCTGGTCCCTGAAGCCAAAGTTCAAAGCACACGTCATCAACTGCTAAGTTTAAATCTGACAGCTTGCGCTGAGGCACAGAAAGAGGTGCTCAGCGCTTGTCATACATCCCAATTTATTCATGCTTTTAAGCAAATAAGATTTATTTTAGGTTTCAGACATTCAAACACATATAACTACAAGCAGAGGTGGTGGGGGATTAAAGATTAAAAAATAAAAACTGCTTATTTAGTTTTTTTTTACCGTGTAGGATTATTTTTTTAAATAAAAATTTGAATAGGGCAACACGGAGGCTCAATGGTTAGCACTGTCGCCTCACTTCAAGAAGGTCACTGATTCGAGTTTCACATGGACTAAACATGGATGAAGCTAAAGGAAAATAAATAAATGAATAAAAATGTGTTTAAAAATCTCTGTTAAAACAGCATATATATATATATATATATATATATATATATATATATATATATATATATATATATATATATATATATATAATTAAAATGGAATAGTGTAATACCACAATGTCTCTAAACAATTCTCTTCCCCAACAATAATGAATGGTGTGGACCGTGATAGACTTGCATCTTTAATTCCTTGAGATACTTAAGCATACCTGTCAACACTGGGATGTGAAAATAAGGGATATGCCTTTCAATCGCATCCCTCCCCAAATTAGTATTGTGTTAAATACTATACTGCAATAACTAAATATGTTCACTTTAATGATTATGATTGCATTGGTGCGGCAATGGCGCTTGTAATGGAAAGTTAGGGAATCCGTCCATTTTGATATTTATTTTAAAGTGTTTTCATGCCTAAATGAAGCAAAAGCACAGAACAGATTTACATTTAAGAGCAAGGGACGTCCCCTGGTGGTCCGGCGGGATGGGTTGCGTATAGGGAGGATCGGCTCTTTATTGCAAAGAAAGATTGAAAATGCGAGAGAAAAAAGGGACAATACCTTTACGGGATGATAGCAGGATAGAACTGTAAAATACGGGAGAATCCCAGGAAAAAAAGGAGGGTCGACACTTACATGTACTACAGATACATTTGAAGTAGGCTTTAAAACAGTTAAGACGCTCTGACACAGTTAGCTTTCAAATCAACACACATCTAAAGCGAACCATCAAAACAAAGCGCAACCATAAAAATAGTGTGTATGTGCTAATACTCACATCCTCCCAGGTGAAGCTGACAAGCGGATCGTCATCATCCTGAAACCTGATATCTCCATGCTCAGGTTCTTCCTCCATAATAAACATAATGCTGACGGAGCGGTAGTAGGGGTGTGTGATATTGAGCACGTCTTGGGTCAGCGGCACTGATCCGCCTTCCCTCACCGTCAGATTGACCACCTGAACAGGTATGATTCGGGGAACGATGTCCACCTGCACCTCCAGGTCTTCAATGGTGGTCAGGCCGTTGCTGACATCTGCGGTGAAGTGGTCGCGGCCCTGCAGGGAAGCGGAGACGTAAAGGATCCTGCCCCGGTTGATGTCCTCCTGTGTGAAGGAATGAATGTAGTCCAGGACGGGAGATGCGGTGCTGTCCGAGTCATTGATGAGTTTGACCACGTGACCAAGGCGAGGGAAGTCTTTTACCGAGTACACCATCTCTTTGGGTGGGACGTCTGTCTGCTCCACCTAAGAAGACCAAAGGATGTTCAAGCAAGTGCAGTTGGAAATGTTCTTATTTTTATGCATAGTAGTGCTTGTTATCAATTACTTATCTCTGCACTTCATTATATTGTAAAAAATAATTTGCCCTCATAATATTTTATTAAATTTGAACAACTTTTCTTCAGTTCTGGTCACATGAAATGCCTTTTGGGCGGAACTATCATTCATTTAGGGCGGGGCTATCATAGTTTTAGGGCAGGGCTGTCAGTCCTTTGGGGTGGAACTATCAGTCTTTTAGGGAGGGGTTATCAGTGCTTTTGGGCAGAGCTATCAGTCCTTTAGGGCGGGGCTAAAAGTCCTTTTAAGCGGAGCTGTTAGTCCTTTCGGGCAGGGCTATCAGTCATTTTGGGGGCGTGGCTATCAGTGTTTTTACATTCCAGTAGATTATGCTGTACCCTTGTTTCCGCACTCCCGCTGTCAGGTCTGTAGACGGACTAAAATCCAGTTTAGATGGAGCATTAGGCACACTAATTGTATTTTAGGGATCCGACTGACTCTTAATATTGATACAAGTGTACTTAGTTGTAAAGGGCGTTAACTTCCATCTAGGACAACAAGTAGTTGCATGACTAACCAAGATAGGGTACCTGAAATTTGTTTGAAAGTAATGTTATTCTAAATTGAGTGTATATGGGAAACCATGGGCTTGGCTAAATCAAAATTATTATAGAGTAACATTTATTATAATGGCCCTAACCTCTGATTGGAAATGATATTGTCTTTACTCAAGGGTGTACATCTAAGGAGAACTAATCAAAAATACTTTAGAATGAGCATGGCATTGAGCAAGACTGACAAGAGTGTGACTGTGAGGGACGCCATCGACCGGGCGATCTCCCTGAGCGATATGACCACTCGAAAGAACAAATATAATAGTTACGAGTGAAGACAAAAAAATTCAAACATTTATCTAAATTATACATTGATATAATCTTCCTAATGTTTTATGATTGGAGTCAGATAAAACGAAAGATAAATATATTAATATTCTCATATTCAAATTGGAGTCAGATATGAGGTAAATTTGAAGTAAATTAACATTGTGCAGTGGAGAGAACGAACAGGCAATGAACCTTCATCCACCAGTCGACACCTCCATTGGACCAACTGGGTGGACCTTACATCGGTATTAGAAAAGTAAGAAAAGTACATTATTGCCTGATAAATTATAAATTGTTATATAAGCTACATGTTGCAATTTGTAAATGGTTTTCGGGGGAAAATAAGACCAAAATATTGTATTGTTTCCTGCAGTTTAAAACAAAATCAGCTACCCACTGTATTTGTTTGCCTTTTTGCTTTGAAATCAGACCTAGAAAAATTAAAATGATATAAATATTAGTATTTATCAGCCTACATATCAACTATCATTCTCCGAATACAAAGATTATCAACCAAACAATTACATATCAGTATACCCTTAATGAAATCATTGATACACTAAACTAACATAAACAAAAGTACTTGCTTGATCCTTGAGAGAGAAAAAAAAACCTCATTGGTTACTGTAGAAGCTCAAGAATAGACCTCAGTGGCTTTTTCCTATCAAACATGTTTGCATGAGCTTCTGTAACCAAATGTGAAACACTGTAAACATTGTTCAGTAATCAGTGGATTAAACAGCTGGATGTATTCTGTGGTCTCCTTAAAAGTTTTGGGTGACTAGACTTTCAAAGTAGGGACAGAAATCCCTCAGATTTCATTCAAAAAACTCTTCATTTATGTTCTGAAGATGAGTGAAAGTCTTATGTGGTTGAAACAATATGCTGAATGTTCATGTTTGAGTGAACTAACCCTTAAATGTGCCGCAGCTTATCTCGACAAGCCATATTTGAATGTTTAAAATTGAAAACAACTTTTGGGAGCTTTAAATTAAACGAGAGAGAGCGAACACAATGGGAACAATACGAGGATGAGTAAAAGTACTTTCCTCTTTGGCTGAACTGTCCCTATAAGTCGTACAGCAACATTAACACTGTTTAGAAATGAATAAAAATGTTTTGATATATTAAATTGCTCTGAATGCTACATTGGACTGATATCACGAATGAGATTTATGCCAAACCCTCTATTTAGCTTGTGATGAATCTCCAAACTACTTAAAGGAAAAAGTAGCGCGAGTATAAATCATTGTCAGGCGCTCACAAATGTCCTAATGAATCTGAGCAGAGGCTGTTTCCTCGATGGCAACACTTGGGTAATTACTGAAAGTACACTCAGTGGAGCGTCAACGGTGTGTATGGCATATCTAGAGCCACTGCAGAGACTCAACGAAAACCTGAACAATTTTCTTTTGTCTAAAGAAGCTAAACTAAATGCAAAGCAGCTCCTGGATAGATTTATGAGCCCGGCATTCAGGGATTTTGGGAGCAGCGCTCTTGCGGATCCGGAGCCTTTCTGCAACTCTAATGCAGCAGATGTTGAACACAAATTATCATTAAGCACTGCTGGAAGTCTTTGAAAACTGATGTTGATATTTCTGTGATGTGAGCTGAAATGTATCTCTACTGAAAGATGTACAATATTCAGTTCTATGCAAAATTGGACAAACATTAAAAGAACTGGCTTTCAGTTTTTGGAAAACAACTTATGGCTAGACATGAAATGAGAGTCGTGGCCTCATTCCCAAAACACAAGAAGAACAAATTGTCTTTTAAAACATTTGTAAACATTTGTGTGTGCGTGCAAATAGCAAACAAGTAACATTTTTCGTGGTACAAATTGATCAAATTTAATTAATGAGCTTAAAGAAAGTATTTTTCATTGTCACAAATCACTAGAGAAAGCTAAACAAATGATTTAGCCGGTAGTTAGCTCTCTGTAACTTTAACATGGTTGCCCACTGAAGCTAAGCAGAGCTGTGCCTGGTCAGTAGCTGGATGGAAGACCACATGGGAAAGCTAGGTTGCAGCCGGAAGTGGTGTTAAGTGGTGTTATGCTACGTTGTTGACGCATAGCCCTATGCCGTGGCCGTCGGCGTAGCTGACGTGCACCTCTCAATAAATGTAACTACACGCCGCAACGACGTGATTGGCCGGCTTGGTAGCGCTGACGAGTCTGGGCGGGACCGAGAGATGCGCGAATGGCGCGACCCCGATGGAGCGATTGTTTACAAGTGTGGAGTCCTGTGAAGGAGCTCCGGATGGAAGGTTTTGTTTTGTGTTTACCTCATAGTTAAAGTTGTTGCACGTCCGCCGGTTCCTGCCTCAAAATGAGCGAGTTTGAGCCACTTGTACATTCAGGAAGTGTTCAGGAAAAGCAAAACTGCAGCGAAGAAACTCGACACAGAGGAACATTTACACCTCACTGCCAACTAGTGTTTCGGAAGTGTTAATGCAGACCAACAGAGACAGCGCGCATAAGTGTAAATGCACAGCTACGTGCGTTGCATGCGCCGTGAGTTACGCCGGTCACTTGATGCAGAAGTATAAACCAGGCTTTAGTGAGTCCAGCAGGGGACACTCAACCTGTGATCTTTGTGGGTCCTAATGCCCCAGTATAGTGACGGGGACTCTATACTGTTCAGTGAGCGCCATCTTTTGGATAAGACGTTAAACACTCAGGTCCTGACTCTCTGTGGTTATTAAAAATCTCAAAATGTCCTTCGAAAAAGTGTAGGGGTTTAACACCGGTGTCCTGGCCAAATTTGCCCACTGGCCTCTGTTCATTATGGCCTCCTAACCATCCCCATATCCTAATTGGCTCCTCTCTGCCATTCAGCTGGTGTGTGTTTTGAGGTCTGGCGCAATATGGCTGCCGTCCTGTCATCTGGGTGGATGCTGCACACTGGTGGTGGATGAGGAGATCCCCCCTGTGACGAGGGGGCGGAGCCAAGAGTTGTGGGAACGAAACGGGGCTGGCCGCAAATCCCACGGAAGGAGCTCTGGACTATAAGAGGAAGAACAATGGCAGAGGAGGACAAGAGAGGACTGGGCCCGGACGCTTTTACTATTACTTTTAGTTTGACAGCAGTCTCTGTGAGGAGCTGCTGTCTGTTTGTAGGTAACAGATGGCTTGGTGGAATGATTTAATCGCATGCTTAAATCTATGATCCAAAAATTTGTTCACAAGGATGCAAACAAATTGGGATAAATGGTTGAAGCCCTTATTATTTGCTGTGCGGCAGGTTCCTCAAGCCTCCACGGGGTTTTCCCTCTTTAACTTCTCTACGGCAGACAACCCTGGGAGGTGCTGGATGTCGCTAGGGAGGCTTGGGAGGATGAGCCTTCACAAAGTAAAAGCGTCCGGGCCTGGTCCTCTCTCATCCTCCTTCTCCATCGTTCCTACTAATATAGTCCAGTACTCCTTCTGTTGGATTCGAGGTTGGTGTGCACCACAGGTTATCATCTGTGGCAGGCCTTGTTTCTTCCCACAGCTCTCGGCCCTGCCCTCTCGCCACCCCCCCCCCCCACTCCCCCAAAATGTGTAAAAGCACTTTGAGTGCCCAGAAAAGCACTATATATATGTAAGAAATTATTATTATTATTATAATTATTATTTAGATGTTCAGCCTCAACTTGCAATTTTACGTTTCAACCACAGGTGGCAGTAAAGAGATAACACTTCTGTAGTGCATCTTCAAGAACAAACTATTTACATGAGGTAATCAGCTATTCAAATCTGAATTGTTTTTGAAATCAGAAAACAATTGTTTGCCCACAAAATAAAATAAATAAATACAAATTTAAAGCAATTTAATGGGTGATATTATGATTTTTACAAATTATATTAGTAACTAGTGTCCCCATAATATGTCGCCTCAAAATAGCTCAAGGTTAATTTATTATGCCATGCTGCAAATGCTCTTAAAATTGATGTAAAAACCATTTTTGTATATATCTCTTTAAATGCAAATAAGTATCTGTATGTGGTACCTTTACAGCTCATGCGTCTGGTACTTAACAACAAAAAGTGCTATAAAAAACTCATATTTGATTTTTTATTGGTTTTTATGTCATATTTTGTGTTCAACAGAAGAAAGAAACTCAAACCGGTTTTGAACAAGTGAAGGGGTGAGTAAATGTTGACAGAATTTTCATTTTATGGGTGAACTATCCCTTTAAATATAGTTAGGAAAGGTGTTCTTACCTTCAGGTGGGTTTGGTCAATAACAGAGTGCTCCCCTTCATAAGCGATGATCACTTTGGTTGATGAAATCATCGATTCTGATGGGTAGCCTTTCTTGAATATCTTAATCCTGAAAGTTCCTCCTGTGGACAGGCCATTAGCTTGCACATTGAAGGTAAAGGAATCTTTCAAGCTAACGCTCTGGTCACTGTGTTCATAAGAGACCACACCCTTAGTCAGGTCTTCCTGTGTAAATGATGAAGATTCAATTCCACTGACTATGATCTGACCATCACTGGGAGGAGAAATCACATCAAAAATGATCTCATCTGCACTTCTGATGTCCATGTTGGTTTCTGCACTTAGTAGACTGGTGTTCAATGTCTTGGTGCTGCCGTGGTCCATGACCATCATGTTATTGTTGGTTATGTGTAGATAAGGATCACCTGCTTGCACTTGCAGGACAGCTGTGGTCTTGTGTAAACCATCAGATACTTGAAGTTGGAATCGCTCGCGATCTGCCCCATGGTGGACAAACAAAACCTTCTTATCCCTCAAGTCAGCCTGGCTGAAACGGTATATAGGCTGTGTTGGGTCTGCAGAAGAGACAATGTTTCCTGAAAGAATTCCCACTCTCACATAAACCAGCTGGGTATCATTAAAGTCAGAGTCATCGTCTTTGAAAAGAATGTCATCAGTGGTCAATAAGCGCTGATCATTTCTGACAACGTTAAATGGTTTTTGTATTACCCTTTGAGGCACGTGGTCATTCCTGGACTGTATTGCAATGTTAAACACTCCAGTAAGTAATGCATGACTCTCATCTTGTCCACCATTGCCACCTCTTGAATCAAATGCCAGGAAAGTAAACTGGTCATGCTTTGTTTTCGTTCCATCATGTTTGTAAATCAGCCTGTTCAAAGAAAGATCCTCATTGCTAAAGACCCGAACTGCACCTTCGAACCTTTGCACACCGGGTGGAGAATCTCTGATAAGACGACCATGCTTGGGATCTTGTTTAATTCTGTACACAAAGTCTGTTGAGGTGGAGGTTTGAAGCCAGAGATATTCCTTATTTATGATGTTTTCATTTCCTTCAAGCACAACAAGTTTTTCGTTGGTTAGGACAGGTGCATTAGAATCAGCCTTGATTTTGATTGGAAAGGTGTATTCTCTGGAGTACTGATCTTCTGCAAACACTTTGAACTGGAACTGATCCTCAAAGTCAACTGCCCTGCGCACACGAGGACTGTAGCTAATGAAACCATCCAAAATGTCTTGTTGAGTGAAGGTATCACCATCAGATAACTCTTTATCAAGCATTAACAAGACTCCCCGTACTGGACGTTTCAAAATTGCATACTGGACTGTTCTTGAATCACTACGGCCTACCTTCACAAAAGCTTGCAATTGATCGGGCTTAATGACTTGTTGCTGTCCCCCATTAACTTCCAACGGAGCCATTTTTGATATTCCTACAAGAGCAGGCATGATCTGAATTGTAAATGTGTTGTCTGAAAGAACAACCTGTCCAAGCTGTGCATTGAAGTGAATTACCTCGGACTCCATGCTGTTGTGATTGGCTGTGAAGTTGGGAATGTATTTCAATCGGTTCTGCTCTAGATCAGACTGATGAAATTGCATGACTCTTTTTGCAAGGCCACTGTCTGAGATCAACTGCAGTTCTCCAAACTGAAGTGGCTGAGTGATATCATAAACAACATCTCCTGTTTTTGGCGTAGCGGAAATGGCCAAATTCTGTATTCCAATAGGGGCACTGCTATCCTGATTGACCACAAGGCCGGTATTTGTGACCAGAGTCATCTGGGGCTGGGTGATGAGCAACTTAAATGTGCTTGATTGGCTAACCAAATCTCCATTCGAGACCTGCAGGGTAAGTCCTGTCACTTCTCCTCCCTTGTGGACATAGTAAATGTTTCCCTCTTTCAGCTGTCTACAGGTAAACTTTCGAAGACCAAATCCTGGAAGCTGAGCAGTCTCCAGATATCCGACAGGAGTAGGGTTTGACAAGACTGTGACCTCGATGTCATCACATCGATTATCTGAGTCTGTGATTTTAATAAGGTTTGGGCTCAATCGTGTGCGCCCATTGGCAGTGACTGAAATGTCACCTGCACTGAACTGAGGGATGTCATTGACAGGGATGATCTCTACAGGGAGCACAAATTGTCGAGCAACGCTCAAGCACTCAGGGAGATTTGTACCATGTGCAATCACCTCCAGCCTCATTTCATCTCCATACTTCTCATTGCCATGATGGGAATACTTGATTTTCTTATTGACAACATCTAGAAGGGTAAACTTTTTGCCATCTCTTGAGTTCGTACTAAGCACTCCATACCAGGGGTCACTTAGCAGAGTAAAGATGATCTGAGAATGACGAACACCTGCAGCATTTAGGTCAAATGTTGGGTTGAGGTTTACTATATCAACAAAAGCTTCTCCTCCTTCAGGAACCAGAAGAGGAGTGATGTCCAAGAGCTTGGACACATTGCGGAACATCTCTGGAAAGTCTTCTGTTGGGAAACAATGCCTTTCGTCAGTATTTAAATCAATGTATGAGATCCTTACTGGAGGCGTAGGTGTAGGCTCCAAATCATCATCATAAGATGAGTAATCATACTCCCCTTCACATTTCACATGAATGTCTTTAGTTATCAGAGCATCCTGGAGGCTTCTTCCTTTCTGATTCACCTTGATCTCTCCTAAACATCCGATGAAGGACTCTGTTGTGATCTCCTCCTCAACACGAATCAGATAATCATCTTGAAACACATCCTTCATCTTCTTCTGAATACCTCCTAGGTACAGATTCCCCACTAGATCCAGTTGTCCTTCAGTCTCATTAAGACGAAGTGAAACCGGTTGACTATCCACAGCTATCAGGAATTCGTTGCTTTCAATCTGAACTTTTACTCTGTGCCACTGATCATCGTCGATTTTTATTTCCACATTGTCCAGCATATACTTCCCATCTCCCAGATCAATAATGCCTTTTAGGAAACCTCCCACCATTCCTATTGCAATGAAGTCTGTTCGGTGTCCTGGATGGAAGAGCAACAGTGCATCCTCAATGGTTGTCTTGATTAACATCTCCAGGCTACGGGCTCCAACGTTAGGTCTTGTCCATGTAGGGAAAGAGATGAACGAGTCTGGGCTTATGAAGCTTACAGAGTCTCCATCTCCAGCCTCAAATTCACTGCTGCATGTCTCTTTGGTGTCATAGCAGACTGTATTGGCTAAGGACAGAATATCAAAGTCATGAGACTCAAACATAACGTCGCTCATGCAGCCGCGCAGGGAGGGAACAGCCGTGCTCAGGTACTCAACTTCCAGATCTCTCACTCCTCCAAGAAACACTCCCTGGTCAATGTTCAGGTCCTCATCTGCATTCTCCAATTGGATGAAGGTTGTGTACAGGTTGTCCACAGCCATAGTGAGTTTGCCGTCTTTCAGAAGGAGAGACACATGGTGGTCAAGAAGGTTACTGAGTTGGAGACCCATAGAGGAGGCCAGAACCTTTTCTCCAGATCCCATGTCAATCCTAGCCTGTATATAAAGACACAAATGAACACACATTAAGCAGCAGAAATGTCTGTTAAAAATAAAAGATAAAACAGACAGTTTATTGGAAAAATGTTTTGAGAAAAAGTTGGAATTATAATATTAGGGTGTTTTCAGTTGAGTTTTTCACAATTAGGTATACAGTATTACGAAATGTGAATAAACAAGTAAAATATTTGGTACTTTCGAACAATGCAATAGAATGATGACAAACATTACATTTGAATTATGTTGAGGTTTTAATTTCCTCAATTACACTGTCAAAAAAACAAAGCTGCATTAAATGTAGCATTGCAACAATAATCTTTTCACAAATTTAACTAAGATTAAACATACCATCATTTTCGCAAAAGAAAGAAACACAGAAAAAATAAAGCAACAACTGAAGTATGGCTCCATTTCATCCACCAAGAAATTTTAAGCACAGTTTTATTTTCAAGTTAATTGTCAGCTGCTATGATACTTTATGGCTTAAATTTCAGTTGTTGTTACTTGAAAAATGATAATTTATAAAATAACAGTGATAGATAATTAAATTATAAAACAATTGATAACTGTAATGCACTATTGTAGTATGTGATCTTGTAAGACGATGCTTTGCCGCTTCAGACCATTGAAGGTTGCCAGCAGGCATCTTACCACATTAATATTAGGTTAGATTTAGGTTGTGATGTTGGGTGAACAAAATTCAACTTCTAAGGATAACGGTATTTTGATGTCCAATAACGATGTCAAATGACGCTGATATTTGTTTGATTTTAGGTTGTGTTGGTAAGTGACCAAAATCCAACGTCGAATTGATGTCAAATACTGACATTTATTCATCAGGTCTGGCAACCAAAATCCAACATCTGATGGACGTCATAGTGAAGCCTCCTGACATCAACCCAATTTTAATTCACCCAAAATGCAACGTCCCCAGACGTTGGGGTACAACGTCAATCTGACGTCATGTTTACGCCCTGTGCATGCCGAGTTCTCTTTTTACTAACTTTACTGCAGCTATTTTGTAAAAAACATTTTTCAAATAACAGTAGAAATCCAAACCTTTAAGAATTCTGCAATGATCTGAATCTGTTATCAAGCTCTTTGCAAAAGTAGCTAATTATTATAATTAATATTGGAAAAGCTACATTGTTTCATAAGCACAGTAAGATGACTTACTGTCAATCTAATAAAAAAAATTAACTATGCTAATAGCTGAGCTACCAGTGTTGCCAACCTAGTGACTTTGTCTCTATATTTAGCCACTTTTCAGACCTCTTTGGCAACAAATTTTCAAAAAAGCGACAAGCGACTTTTTTGTGTGTTACTGGAGATTTTTATAGACTCTCATGTATCCATACTGTACCGTCCCTACTCTTCTCAACGAGCTGCAGGTGATGTCGTCCGCCCCTCCCCCACCTCAGAGCCCTGACAGGAGGCCCAGTCCACATACAGCAGTCTCTCCCACCTGCAGTCTGAGAGCAGATTACTCCTCTGTTTACCGACGGCAAATGAATTAGCACCCTGAGTGTGAGGTATTTTCCATTGTGCAGTCAAACTGATCTGCTTCTCCTTTTTTATAACAATTTAATTTGACCGTTTATTCTTTTCTTGCTCACAATCACAGATACTTTCGTTCAGTTTCGAAACTAGTCTATATTGATATACTGTATTCAAACAGCAATGAATTTGGTTAAACTGACAAACAGAAACGGTAGAACGCAATTACGTCAGCAATATGCAAATGACATACGATGTAATCTAGCAACATTTAGCCACTTTTCTGGCAGATCTTAGCACCTTATTATTGAAAATAGTTGGCAACACTGCCAAAATCCAACGTCGAGCAAACATCTTAAACCAGTGGTCACCAAACTTGTTCCTGGAGGTCCGGTGTCCTGCAGATTTTAGCTCCAACCCTAATCAAACACACCTGAACAAGCTAATCAAGGTCTTACTAGGTATACTTAAATTATCCAGGCATGTTGAGGCAAGTTGGAGCTAAACCCTGCAGGGACACCGGCCCTCCAGGGCCGAGATTGGTGAGCCCTGTCTTAAACCAATGTCATATTGACGTCAAAAACTGACATTTTTTCGTCAGGTATGGCAACCAAAATCCGACGTCTGATTGACATCATAGTGGTAACATCAACACAACTTATATAACGTAAATTAGACGATGATATTTGGTTGTTTTCAGGTTTCATTGGAAAGTGACGTCTGGATAATGATATCAAACTGATGATGGGTTCTGACATCAACCCGATTTTCATTTTCACCCAATATGCAACGTTTCTTGACGTTCAATCTGACGTCATGTTGACATCCTGCGCCTGCTGAGTTCACTTTTTACTATCTTTATCACTGCTAATTTGTAAATAACATTCTTCAAGTAATAACAGTTGAAATTCAAGCCTTAAACAATTCTGCAATGATTTATAATGTATCTGTTATCAAGCTACTTGCTGAAAAAAGTAGCTAACTGCAAAAGCTACATTGTTTCATGAGCACAGTAAGCTGAGCTACCGTCAACCTATTAAAAAATTTAACTACGCTAATAGCTGAGCTACTTCTAGCCACTCCCTTACATTGGTTATGCAGTTGCTAAGATGTTCTGGTTTGTTTGTGGTAAAAGCTGCACATCTTTCCCAGAGATCGGTTGCGGCTAGAAGGGCATCTGCTGCGTAAAAACTTGCTGGATAAGTTGGCAGTTCATTCCGCTGTGGCGACCTTAGATTAATAAAGGGACTAAGCCGACAAGAAAATGAATGAATGAATGAATAGCTGCACATCATAGGTTTATCCTTGCGTGGAAATTGGGGTTTGGGGTTTTGTTGCTCCGCAAGCACCCCTAGTAAATCTTTATTTCACTTCTGATCCTCTGGCACATTAATCATGTTTAGGCATTTAAGCAAAAACACAAGACAAAAGTACTGATCAGGAATATGATTTTTCACAGTCCATTATACAAGCATCCAATTGTGAAATTCTGCCGCAGACTTTGTTGGACCAGTCTATTTGAGACAACCTAAACGGAAAATATCACAGATCTCATTTCAGATCCGCAGCCTCCAAAAAATGAAAAAAGTAAATCTAAGTGAATTGGATGCGTCCGTAGAAATGCGTTTTTAATGACAAATCCTGCCACCGATGAGATAGTCTTGGTAGCGCTTCACACCGTAGTGTAATGCAGGCAGTTCGAGAGCCTGTGTTTATCTGTGCGGAGCGGGAGCCGTTTTCTGGGAAGGCTGTAGATGAAGAAGAAATATCTCAGAGCAAAACCAGTAACTCATTCTAGCCGTGGACGCTTTTTCCATGCGCTGAGCTGAAAAACTGTGACGATCCAGTCGCAGTGGAGCTGGAAGCGAATGTGAGTCATCCCTTTCACCACAAAAGCAAACGGCTGCCTCTCAAAAACTCACTAGAGATTTTCTCAGTGTGTGGCTCATTCTGGGAGCCTGAAGTCTTGAAGGGCCATGAGAAAATAATGGAGCTTGTATTTATTTGTGTAGTCAGTCTGGGGTTTAATCTACAGTACAAAGCAGATATTTTGACAAACGGCACCCTGTGCTTTCTGATTCTGCCAAATCTGATTTCAGTCTTTAGTGCATAAGTAGCAGTTTCAAAAGGCTCCTTAACCCAAAGCAATTTTACACTTAAAAGAGAGTTCAGAGGATTACAACAACTAGAAGTCATCTAATGTTAATGAGGTGATTTGAGGGGACTTTGAGAGGCTGTTTTCAACTGGTTCTTTCATATGTATTTTTTGCTGATTGTATAGCTATTTGATATGATAAGAATGGTCTGGCTGCAAATGCAAGCTGAGCTGCATGCAATGCTTTTAATGCGCACAACTAGCCCCGCCCCTAACCCTACCCCTTACAGTGACGTCCAGGGCCAGATTAACCAATGGGCATTATGGGCACAGGTCCAGAGGCCCGTGCGCACTTGGTGCCCCTGCAAGTGCCGATTTTGGAGTGTCTATTTAGGCTTTAGTGCACCTATTTGGTGCAAATAGTGCACCTTGTTGAAATAAGCTAGTTGAGTGATTCCCGCCCATCACCGTTTGATTGACAACACAACTAAAGAGAGCAACAAATAGCAGTGTGAGTGGCGTAGCTTGTAAATCGCATGACAACATGTTTTGACGCAATCGATCAGGAACCCGGTTCAATCCAGCGTCTGATGAACACGCTCTTCTTTTTCCCCACTACATATCAGATTTTGCCTACTCTTCATCACGAGAAAGACAAGTAGGAATTATTAATAAGTGTGTGCATTATGGAGGACTCAGATTTATAGAACTGGATTGTTGAGGTGTTATATCCAAATCATATGCATTATAAGCTGGTAGAAGTTATACATTAAAATACCCTTAAATATACATATTTTAGTTCTGTGTTAGTGATCTTAAACAAGTATTATAATCCATTCATTTCACTAGTTGTATTAGTATTTTTTTCAAAGTATGCTACAAATGCTTAAACAATAAGTTAAATCTTTGTAGACTAGAAATCGATGTACTATATATCATTTATTTAAAAAATGCAGGCAATATATTATAGATTAATTTAATTTAAAAATATTTTATTAATCTTATTTTTTAATTCAACTATAGGGGTGCGGCCAGGTAGGACATTACCGGGAGTGTCCCATATTTCAGACCCATCTCCCACCCTTCTCCCGTAGTGTTCTGTTTCCCGAAAACTCCCAGAATTCCATCATTTTCGTTCTAAAATTTAAACAGTAAGACGTATTAGTGTAAACTGGGCCTAAGTGTGTATTTTTCGTAAGCGGGTTTGCGATGGGGGCGGGGCGGGGCGGAGAATTGGCGTTGCTGGCTCAGCATCATGTTGTCTATATGGCCATCAGTCTATCGTCGCAACCCTAATATCAAGCAGTGTGGATCAGTACATATCAAGCTTATATATCATGCATGATGACTAGCCAACCAGCTACTCTCATGGACGCGCACGAGAAAGACGTTAATATGCACAGAAAGATATACAGCGCTTCTGTTGGATTTAAGAGACATGGCACATACTAGAAAAGGTGCCTCAGTAATGTTTTTGAAAAAATGTACACTGCGCCCTATAGTAAATTAGCCATATACAAAACTGCATGAAAACGTACATAATTCTCAGTTCTCAAAAAATGTAGTCCTGGGTACATATTCCTAATCAGCCTGGGTTGAAAAATATAGCGTTTCGTTTGTTTAGGTTTGAAAGTAGATCATATACAAATGAATGTAAACCCTTTACAGTTTTGAATGATGTCTTGCGCATATCTGTACGACAAAACTAAGCTTCCCTTAGCCTATAATGACAGTAATGACAGTGAAAGTAAAGTGATGATGTTTTACTGAAACATAAGTGAAGCACAAAGCCTCCATGCATTTAACATAAAAAAGATATATAGCTTACTTTTCTGTAAATAATAGCAAGAATTAAATAAAGTTTGGCATATTTGACACTTTAGTTGATGTAACCTTGATAAATTTGCATATATTGCTGGATCTAAAGATTTTAGAACTTATATCCATTATAGCGAAAATGCATTCATGCAGCCAAATAGAAGCGTTTTCACAAATCAGACAGCTATCAGATCAGAGAAAATGTATAAAGTGATCAAAATTTCACGATTTGAACCTCAAAAGTCTCTCACCTGTAATCTGCCATTGCTGAGCTCCAGAGAAAGGTAATCTTTGTGTCCCGCTGCCAGCAGGAGCAGGCCGCTGCGTCTGCCAGTTTTAAATTGGAGCGACACTTGAAAACTTGACAGGTCTTGAACGGCATCTATGCGACAGTAGCTGTCCCCGAAATAGGATGCTGCAAACACAGAGCAGAGAAAGTTTTCTCATTAGAAATGTTTTAACGATGACGTGCGCCATTAACGTCTGAAAGATGCACAGCAGATGGAAGTTTGAATGTAAAACTTTTTTTTTTCCAGCTGTCTTGTCAGCTGTTGTGCAGAAAAAGACACTGTTCTGGAGAGTTCCAGCTTTGGCCCCCTCGAGAATGTTTATATAACCAGGATTCCAGGAGCTTAGTGTAGTAATGGACGGCTGTATGCTAATGTATCCACCTGCCTCAGACGGCAAAATCGATTTAGTTTTTTTCTTTATTGCTTTTACTTTATTAAATCATACACACATCACTCCTGGGCCATATATCAAGGAGATCCCCAAAGTTTCCAGGACCCAAATCAACAGCGTCTCTCTGCCCTGGTAACATTATACACCCAGACTCATTGGGAAACCCCACAGTGGAATTCTGGGAAGCATCCAGAAAGGGAAGATTTTCACAGGAACTATGGTCAACATCTTGGTAGAGGGTCAGGAGTCAATTTATGACTCATGTAATTCCATTATCCCATCATCTACAGGACGAATTCTCAAATTTTGTTGAAAATCAGGGTTCTTGCAACTTTTCCAAAGTCCGTTTTTCTAAAGGCATATTCAAACTTGTTCGACCACTTCTGGAAAGATACATATTTACATACACAAATGTAACTAAATGGACTAGTTAGTTGTTTTTTAAGGAAAGTTATGTTAAAGTATGTTGTTATTTTTCTTCTTCTTTTTTTTAAAGAGTAAGATATACATTTTAATACATTACTTATATAATAATAATAATAATAATAATATATTACTTTTTTCCTAAAATGGACATCAGGCACGTGCACACATAGGGCTCAACCTGTGCAGTGCACATGCCCTTTTTAGTCTTAGATAGAAAGTGCCCTTCCAAAAGGATCTGAAGTGCCCCAGCGAAAACTAACTATCCCCCCATCCACTCTTCGCGACACTAACATCCCCCCCCAATCCCAGACCCCACCCCACGTTCTCTAGTGCTCGCGCCGTATAACTCCCACCCCCCCAACCGACCCCCCCGGTCTTCAGTTTGCGCGTTCCCTCTCCCCCCTCTCTTCAAAATTTTCATCCTGCACATGCCCCTTTGACAATCTCTGCACGGGGCTGATGGACGTCGACGGTTTCAGGTTTTCAGCTTTCTTCAAAACATCATCATTTTTGTGTTCAACATAAGAAAGAAACTTATAAAGTTCATTCAATCATTCATCAAGTACATTTACATTTATGGGGTGGCGACGCAGTAGCGCAGTAGGTAGTGCTGTCGCCTCACAGCAAGGTCGCTGGTTCGAAGCTTGGCTCAGTTGGCGTTTCTGTGTGGAGTTTGCATGCTCTCCCTGCCTTCGCGTGGGTTTCCTCCGGGTGCTCCGGTTTCCCCCACAGTCCAAAGACATGCGGTACTGGTGAATTGGGTAGGCTAAATTGCCCATAGTGTGTATGTGTGTGTGTTTCCCAGAGATGGGTTGCGACTGGAAGGGCATCAGCTGCGTAAAAAAAATGTGCTGGATAAGTTGGCGGTTCATTCCGCTGTGGCAACCCCGGATTAATAAAGGAACTAAGCCGACAAGAAAATGAATGAATGAATTTATGGGGTGAACTATCCCTTTAACAGCAGATAATCACTTTAATGTCAGAGTACTCTTCTCTTAAAGCTATCATATGACTTCTCAAAACTTGGCAAGCAGTAATCTGGACTACATTTGTGGCTCTTTTCCATCTGTTTTGAAACTTTGCATTAAAGAGTAATTGCATGGAAATATATTACTATAATATCCTAAGTTCATTGTCCCACATGAAAAGAATGCTTAATGAGTTCAGAATGACACGAGAGAGAGTAAATAATGACAGATTGTTGTGTAAAAGTCTTTTTTTTTTTGCAAACTATGTAGCATCTGAAATGATTTTGCAAAATGCACTATCATTAGCTAATGGCTAACTTTTAAAGGAGACCTATTATGCAAAAATCACTTTTATGAGGGGTTTAAACACAGTTGTGTGGTAAAATTCTGTGAATATAACCAGCGTCTAATGGTAAAAATGTATTAATTATTTATTTTTATAATCACATTTGTTAAAAGCAGTCTGCAGAAACACTTTGATTGACTTTCTCTGTTTGTACGTTTTATCAGAGGGGGGAAGCTCCACCCACTAGTGATGATCTCTCCCTAATTATCATAAGACATTAGACTTGTTTTTGAATTTGCCACTATGCGGACACATTTATATAACACAGGCTCATTCTGAAAACGTAGTCCTGTGGACGTTTCTGGAGACCGCGAATTAAGTAGCCGAAAGTACGTATGGCTGCATTTAATTTTTTAAGCAAACGCTACGGGGTGGTATGGCGCCGTTCCTTTTGGCGCTTACCGGCTGACCGCTTACTTCCGTGTGGAGGGCTTTCCCGCCGCAATCAGTTTGTCCAGCTAGCTCGTCGTGTACGTGGGCGGACTTGAGATGCAGAGAGGAGTTGACCACGATGACGATGACAACCGAGTTCGAGTCCAGGGTGGAGCGGTTCCAGAAATCAGGTAAGACAAAAACAGAATCCAAAAAATAAAACTAACGAGTGAACAACAGGGTGAGGATGTGGTAAAAATCAGACGAGGACTTTTCTTTTTCTGGACGGCTTTTGTAAACCGTCGGTTGAGTTTAGAGTAAGCAGGTGGGCGTGTCAATCTGTAAAATTGGTTGGGTTTAGCAATGGAGGAGGGTGGGTTGGTCTATTGGGCGGTCGCCCATTCATTAATTCAGTCATTCAGTCAGTCGACATTGGATTCATGCGAGAACAGCGCGGGCGCGAATGGCACTTGCAAGAGGCTTTAGAGATGCGAAATAGCGCATTTGGAGGATTCGCGAAAACAAAAACTGCAAAAATACGAACCTCCCGGGACGTATTTCGCGGTCTCCAGAAACATCCACAGGACTACGATTTCAGAATGAGCCTGGGTTGCATTTATAGCTCCGCCCTCTTCTGAAAAGAGTAGTCTCATTTGGATTTAAAGCGACAGTCAGCAACATGGCACAATTAGGATCAAAGCCTAAAAGGGTTGGATTCAAACAGTTATGAAACATTATCTGTGGTGTGTTTTGAGCTCAAACTTCACACACACACACACACACACACACACACACACACACACACACACACACACACACACACACACACACACACACACACACACACACACACACACTCTTGGGACATCAGAGACTTATTTTACATCTTTTAAAAAGATCCCCTTTAAGTCAGTGGCAATGAGCCCAGTTGTGTTTTCATTTCTTCCTTTGTATTCATGCACAAAGGAAACATGACTTGAGAGAACACTTAATACTCAACATAAATAACAGTGAACTGGATGTGCAGCAAAAGCATCTATTTCATGAAGAGAAACCATATACATTCAGTCAATGCACTCCAAAAAACAAACGCATAAATCTCAGCAAAGGAGCGCAATAGGAGCCAGAGTTGGTATATGATCTCTCATAGTCATATATAATGCTGAAAAGGTTATAACATTTAGATCTGAGCCACTGTCCGCACGGACCTGAGACCCACGGATAGCATATAAAACAGAGAAAACTGCATTTTAATGAAGCGTACATTTATCTAAAGCCTGCTATTCTGATTTGGTGCTCAACGACCTTTTGAAACACACTGGAGATAGAGAAGAGCCAGAGAGAGAATATATGGAATTAGCTGGGAATATTTCCCTTCAGCTTTACGACCATCAGATCTGTTTTTGCTGGAATATTCACAGCATACTCGGGATGCAAAATGGGCAACTGGAGCACAAGGACTCTAAGGTTCAATCTGCCGTCGGTGCGCACTGAGCATGCTCAGAAACAGACACAAGGGCCACAGTGAGCACAGCCAGTCGAATAAATCTGGAAGCCATTAAAACTCTTTGAGGGGATTCTAAATGGGACACATGTGTTGAAGACCCCCAACCATTGCGGCATTCAACGTACATTTAACCAATACTCTTCTTTATAGACCAGTCACGTCTCATTGCGTGCTAAAAACACAGGCGGCAGGTTTTTGTTTGTGAACAAGGGTCATTATATTGTTGGTGGGTTGATTATGAAACTCCATCAGTTTAAAGGGAATGGCACATCTGTCTTTACACACCAGTTATTTTAAAGAGGGGAACACTGTTTGAAAAGAAAACCCTGAGTGGAAAAATTGAAATCAGACAGAAACATGGAATCTCTGTGTGCCAAAGGGGAATTACAAGACCTAACTGACATTGGTGGAAAAGATAATTAGCCTAAACATCTATCTAACATTTATTAATGCACATTCTTATCATGCTAATCATTAAAATCAATAACTTGCTTGTTCATTTTCACCCCTTGACTTCCAAATTACCTTCGTTGTTTAATTGAAGGCCCACTTTAATGATCTAAACTAGGGCTGTGCAATTAATCGAAAATCCGATTTCGATTATGGCTTCTAACGATTATGAAAAACCATCAATCGAGATAAACGAATATTGCATTATATACTAAAAGCGCGAAAGACCGCATGCTTATGTGTGTGTGCAACACGCGCACACGCATAAGCACGCGGTCAGCATTCGGTCTCATTCGCACACTGAGACGAGCAGAGGAGCGCAGACATTTAAAGTAATCTTAACGTGAGCGCTTTAATGGTCGAATATGTGTCAGAACGCGGTGATTAGTGATTATTCATATTAACCCTCATTCGCGTAATAAAAAAACGAGTTGAGAATCAAAAGACACGTGAAAGAGAAACAATTAAAGTGACAGAGCAAAATGCTGACGCCTGTTTTATCATTAATCAAACGACGAGAAAATCCCTTACTGCTCTTGACTGAAGGATTTTTGTAGCTAAAGTGTTTTTCTTAGAGTGAAGATGCTTAAAGCACAGTTTGTTTTATATTTTTATTCTATTGTATTTATTTCTCTTTCCTTTGCAGGGTGGAAAATAACTGTGTG